CACACTTTAGCTCTAATAGAATTGGTGGTTCAAAATTGATATCTGATGTTTTGATCAATCAGATAAGGATTTATTATATTCGAATCATGTAAATAGCTTTATATATATATATGGACCAAATAGACAAACTCAAACCCAAGATGAGGCATGATCGCACTAAATGATCTATCAAACTTAAAAGTATATAACTTTAGATGTAACCATTGAATTGAACTTAAATTTTATAAAGAGGTTCTATAGATCCTATTATGTGAGTGTTTGTTTTAGCGTTACAACACACTTTTTAAATTATTTTTTGTTTGAAAAAATATTAAATTAATGTTTTTTAGGTATTTGTAGATGATTGTGATGTGTTGATATCAAAAATAAAAAAAATCTAAAAAAAATATCATTTTAATACATTTTTAAATGAAAAGTTCTTTTGAAAAGTACCATGCACCATAATACCAAACACATTATATAGGGGTCTAACTAGCTTTGCCAACTCATTTTGGGAAGCATGCACCATAATACCAAACACATTATATAGGGGTCTAACTAGCTTTGCCAACTCATTTTGGGAAGGCCTTTAAAAAAAAACCCACAATATATTGTTTCAATCAATCTTATTACTATCCTTATTAATTTTATAATCTTTGCTTAATTTTTTAAGTTTTGTGTTATTTTTCTATGTGAACTAGAATTCTGATTATTAAAGGTTGGTTTAAAACCTATTTAAAAGATTATAATCATTGATTCAAGAGTAGATTGCCAAAAAAATAATTATTACAGTAATAAAATATGAATTAGGATTTTTGTTGTGACTTTTTTTCAATAAACTTTTATTTCTTGATTCTTATTTTTTAGGGTTAGCTACATCAATTGGTATTAAAATTGAAGATATCAGAATTGATTCCTTATTAAGGGTGAATGTGCAAAAATATCATCTTTCTTTTAAAATTAAAATCCTAATAAAATAATTCATACAGACATGTGAAAGACCCACGATGGGGCAACCCATACATAAAAATGCCTATTGGGTTTATGACTAAAATGTTATGGTCTAATTAATACAAGAATAAATTTGTTTACTTTCATCAATCTAAGCTTTTAAAAACAACTTGCAATTTGTTCCTACATTAAAAATGAAAAGTGATGAGCTTGTTTAAAGAATAAAAGATGAAAATATGAGCTATCTTGATTTTGAATAAACATTTATATTAGTATAGGCAAAATAAGTTATTAACAACAATAACAAGTGACAGTTTGATAAAACAAACTTTTCGAGATAATATTGTCCACATGTCAATTAATGAATATTTTTTCATATAAGAGAATGATACTTTTAAATTTTTTTTCTCAACCAACTCTTTTTTTTTCCCTGCTAGCTTGTGTAGTAAGTTATGTTATTGGACAAAAAATCTGACAAATATTATTGGCAAATGACACGACTAAAAGATTGATATCTTCTTCCAAGTACAGGAATGTTGAAGTAATAAATAACACAG